ACTCAAATAAGAACACGTCACTTTATTTAATAACATCAACAGCTCTAATGACAACACTCATCAACAAATGCGGAACGAACGTATAGGACAGAAATTATTCACTATGAATAAATATGATAGCGATTGAGATATGAGAAATATTCAGTGAGTACAGATAAATCAAAGGATAAAATTATGTCCATTGTAGAAGAAAGTGCATGACCCCAACGAACTTCTCATCGAATACAACAGCCTAACCAACAGCTGCCGTCTACTTCTTCGACAGCACAAAACGCGCACACACTTCAGTTATTTCCGTAGCTGCCGATGCCTTCTCATCGTAGTCAGCCCATTCCTGAACGGGCAATTGGGTTTTTAACTGATGTGTGCATTCTCTTATCCAAAAATGATCGATGCTTTTTACAGCTAAAATACTGAATGAAATGATCAACAATTGCAACAATTTTGTGAGTAGTCAACAACACATATAAGAGATACATGGGTGCAGAATTTTCAATGTAAAAGGAAACGATAGCAATTATAGTAAGGAAAAATTCAATGAAATTTTCAATCCATTTGGAATCTGCGAAAAACAACTTGAATTGGCAATATTTTAGTAGTCGATATATTAGATGAAATGTATCTAACATACAGAAATATCAGAAGATAAACCTTTTCAGACAAGTCGATATCGTCGAAGGGAGTGCCAGACTCCGTACCTACAGCCTTCCATCCAACCTGAAAATCAGAATAAGTAATGAGGCGAAAAAGACACTAAAATGAGATTGCACACAATCGTCATTCACTACAACAACCACCGGCAATATCAGAACGTCAGAGCAAGATTTCCGAGGAAAAGATTTTGGAATGCTTGAAAATAACGATTCCACGAACTCTCGGATCAAACGCTGTCGGTTCCACACCGCGACAATCGAATTTAACGATTGGATGATACTGTTCACTGTCATCAATTGAATACGGTTTGTAGGAATCTTTAACAATATCTGAAAGAAACACATAAATGCATCTTCTAGTTATCGAAAAACCACTTTGTTCCCAGTTCACCGAGACTGACACTTTAGAAGTTCAATTACTTTGAATTGATTCATTCGAAAACGAATATAGCAGAAAAGTAAACGAAAATATCGACGCATTGCTGAATTGCAGAAATGAATATTTTCACAATGATATAGATGCTGACCAAGTGAATTCACTCTCCCACAAAGTTTACACTTTGCAATCAGATT